CTAGGAATGTTAGTGAGATCATATCTAACTGGTCTGTGTATTTTCCCCGATCTCTTTAGTTTTATTCTAAATGAGCAATAAGAAATTCGTGATCTGAGCTACAGTCAGCTCCAGGTCTTGTTTTCACCGACTGGATGGATGTCCGCCACCTTTGGCTGCAAAGGATGTAGTCAATCTGATTTCGGTGTTGACCATCTGGTGAGGTCCATGTATAAAGCCGTCTTTTAGGTTGTTGGAAGAGAGTATTCGTTATACACAGCGAGTTTTCCTGGCAAAATTCTATCAGCCTGCGTCCCGCTTCATTTTGTTCTCCCAGACCATGCTTGCCTGTGATCCCTGTCATTTGACTTCCCACCTTGGCATTCCAGTCTCCTGTAATGAAAACAATGTCTCTTTTTGGTGTATTATCCAGTAGGTCCTGCAGATCCTCATAGAACTGATCTACTTCTGCTTCTTCAGCAGCTTTGGTTGGGGCGTATATTTGGATCACTGTAATGTTGAAAGGCTTTCCTTGCACTCGAATTGAGATCATTCTGTCATTTTTTGGGTTGTCTTGACAATATTTGAGTTTAAAAGGCCAGTAGCTGGTTGAAACTAGGGCAAGGTCAGTATTGAAATTGACTGGACATCAGCAGAGATAAAAGCAGATGCATTCCTGTGGCTGAAACCAACAACATTAGCCCAGCATGACTGTGGTTTCATGAAAAGCAAACAAAACAACAGGGAGTGGCCACATGCGAGAAATGAGCCAGAGATTGTGACTGTGAAATCGCACTATCAACAACCAGCCATTCTACCTCAGTTGAGCAGAGCCTATGGATTTATCTGTTATGTACCTACCTATGCATGGGATAGTCAGGTATAACTGGTGCCAATGGAGTAGTGAACTTTAATGAGTAGGTGAATGTGTAGAATCCTACCTCAATACAGGTTCAGCACTATGGATATTTCCTCTAAAGTTCAGGCCAAAGTTCAGAGTAGTTTCACGATGGAATAATGACCTGAAAGCCACCACCCTCCACTGAAGGTTGGATACTTTGCAGAGCTGAATAGCCTGGCTTCTTGATATATTGAGAAAGGTGGCACATCATGCATGTATCTAAGTGAAATATACCACTGCTGTCTCTTTGGCAGTGTCATACTAGAACCCACACACAAAAGGAAGTAAAACAATTCCTTAGGAACTCCAGATCCAGCTCAAATTCCTGCCAGTAGCAGGTAAACACGCACAAACATTCTGAGCTGGAACAGGTTTTGGCTTGTTGACATCTAAGCTGAATGTGTGAGAATGAGAGGGAGAAGCATGACTTTGCATTTGGGCCCTTTCCATGTTCCCTCCGAACAGCACCTCTGCTATCCTTGTATAATAGTAAAGCTGGGCATGGGTCCAACTGACATCACGTGAGAAGCCACAATCTTAGATGTAATCTCAGAGTTAAAGAAGAGTCTCTGGAGATTCAATACACTAGGGATTTATCTTAATCCCATTAGTTCCACCTACAAAATTAAGTGCCCCTTTGAGTCTTCTTTGGCAGTGACGATTTAGAGATACAGCTAATGACTTCATCACACTGAAAGGGGAAAGAATGGTTGACCATCCTGCAGTCCCATTATCCTAAACCAAGAGATCCCTTGCCCTACCCAAAGCTCCTTGCATTTAAGGAGACTGATGCCAGTTTAAAACCTCTTCTTCCCATGGGAAAAATTGTTCTGCCCCAGAAGATACAAGAGACAGTGATTCAGTTTAAAACCATTGCTTTCCATGGGATCCTCTTGATCTGCATGGAACCCCAGAGGGTACAAGAGACAGTGATCCAGGTTAAAACCATTGCTTTCCATGGGATCCTATTGATCTGCATGGAACCCCAGAGGATACAAAAGGCAGTGATCCAGGGCAAAACCGTTGCTTTCCATGGGATCCTATTAATCTGCATTAAACCCCAGAGGATACAAGAGGCAGTGTCCCAGATTAAAACCATTGCTTTCCATAAGATCCTATTGATCTGCATGGAACGCCAGAGGATACAAGAGTGTGCTGTCATTTGGGCAATGAAACAGGACAGGAAACTTTGATGGTTTCCATCACACCTGTTTTTCAGTTGTAAAGATGTATGTATGTATGTATGTATGTATGTATGTATGTATTTACTCCATTTCTACCCCGCCTTTCTCAACCTGAGAGGAGACTCAAGGCAGCTTATAATAAATCCGGCAAAAATTCAATGCCA